TATTATTTTTCTCTTTTATTTAAGAATAGATAAATTTAATTAAACAATTAAATATAATTAAATAAAAAAAAAAAATTAATTCATGAATCATGATCCATGAGTCAACTGCAAAGGATCTTGCAATCTGACGTGGCATCAAATAAAAGTAAAATTTATGTGAAAAATTATTTTAAGAAATAAAATATTTGAAACTTTTGGATAAATATTATGTTACTAAAATATGTTTAAGTGTTAAATGAGTTCACGTAATAAAAATCGCGATCGATATAAAAATCATATATAAATTTTACTCACGGGATCATGAATTACAGCTGTTTTCATAAGACCTGAAATTTTTGAACCCGACCGCCGACCCGCCGATCCGGTATTTTTAGCTGGGCACGTGATCCAGATTTGATAGTTTGATTTGTAAAACTGAACCGGATCGGCGGGTCGGCAGTCGGGTTCAAAAATTTATTTTGTCCTAGGTCTTATGAAAACAGCTGTAATATTTTTCAGCCCGAATTCCGAGATCAAAATCTAAATAATAGGTGATTTCAATATATATATATATATATTTCAATTTCTGCAAATTGCAAAAAAAGGTTTGTCGTGACATTGACATGATTTCCGGTGAACTTTTTTGTGGCGCTTTCATAAGTGATATTACGTCGGTTTCTTGTTTTTTTTTCTTTTTTTCGATTAAACAAATGCGTTCGCTTTGGAGTTTTCGGTACTTGATAAATCATGTGATAACGAAATGACAGAGGAATTGGATTAATAAATATATGTGACTTTTTTTATCCCCAAACCTTCCAGTCCCATAATTTGTGATTTTTCTATAAGCTAATGGATAATATTTTAGCAAATTCATTATTATACGACGTAATAGAAAAGCTTTCTTAAATATTTAAAATATTTAATTAATTTTTTGCAATTTATAATAAATAAATAATTGAAACACATTAATTTTTCCATTTTAATTATAGATTACTATTCTTTTTAAAGTACAGATAATTGGTATACAATATTATTATTGTTGTTTAGCAATATTATTATCATTTGATTTTAAGCTTAATTTAAAATAAAGCTAAGTTAAATAGTTGAAGAATTTTGGGGTGATCAAAAAATATCCTATAACTATTATATATTACGGTGCTACCCAAATTAAGATACATTCTATATATAATTATTTGTAGAAATAAGTCCCTTTATAAACTAATGAGGGACTTTATATATGTTAAAATGATTTGCTCTTTCACGGTATTTATTTGCCAAGTTCAATAAGGACAATGCGTTGGTTAAAACAATACATTTTTTTAGTAAACATCTGAAATAGCATTTATAATTTTTTTTTTTGTAGATATAAAATAAAATTTTTAATATTTACATATAAAATTAAACTAACTAAATTCATTATTTAAGAAAATTATATGGTAATTTATTTTAGATGGTAAGTTATAAGTAATTTATTTAATTCTATTTTTACATATTTATATAATATATATATATATAACTAAACTAACTAAATTCTTCATTTAAAAAAAAAATATGGATTATTTATAAAGTTGCAAATAAAAAAAAAATTTTATGTCAAAAAAAAAAAAAAAAAAAAAAATCGGTTTAAAAGAATAAATGGGTAAGGTAACACAATTGATGAATCAAAAAGGGCGTTTTTTTTTTTGAATGTGCCGTATATATGGAAAAATTTTTTGTCGATCTTTTTTATATAATAAAGAATATAGATAAAATAAAAGAATGTTGAAAGTGGGTATACAAAAGTTATAAATTTCAGTGTTACAGTAATTAAATACAGAATTGCAATAATGATTTTAGGAATGATAATTAAAAGAAAGCAGATCCATAAAATAGTTGATTTATAAAAGGATCTGGACGTATTAAAGCATGTCTTAATTTCCTTTTATTTCGACGTTTGCGAATAGGATTCTGTGACACGTAGGATATTGAACGGTTGATCGTAGGATAATGTTGATTTTGTACGCCATTTGTCATAACTGATTGTTTCAAATTAAAAAAAGTTGGGTAATTGCTGTATCGCGTATATAATTAAAAGAATATCGAAATAAGCGGATGTATTTTTCTTATTTTTCAAAATATTTTTATAAAAGAGTAATTGAAAATCGTAAAATTAAATGATTTTTTTAAAAAAAGTAGTATAAAGACGAAATAAAGCAAAAATAATTCGTTAAGCAAAAAAAAAAAAAAGGTTATTAAAAAATATCGAAGTAAGTTTTTAATCGTCAAAAAAATCAGCTTAAAATGTCAAAGAAGTGAGTGTATATATATACGTTTTTATCTTATATATCTTTTGTTCAACTAAAATCAAAAAAATTTGACCCCATCGTCATATGAATCTTATCCATAGTTGCTACAAATTTGGAAATCTATTTAACCTATTTCGTAAAGAAATAACAATACGAAAAATGAGGACAATTTATGAAAAATTTTCAGTTTGTTTTACGATCCGGTATAATTAATATAAAACGCGTTTATTGCACATCATTCTATATAAGGAAGTTAGATAACCAATCATCTTAAAAGAATGGATGAATTTTTTAGTAAATTAATAAAATTAACAATTATTGTTTTAAAATCTGATTTACAATAATATTACTGATCTTATCATTCATGACTTTAAATCTTTCGGGACAAAAGGTAATCAAAAAAAGGAATTCTTTCTTAAAAAAGTACTCTTTTATAGATTACCAAGTATGACTCATAAGAATATGAGTCATTTTTGCCGCAAAGGAATATGATTCCGATATATGCCAATCAATTCTTCGTAAGGTATTTTTTTTTTAATTTTGTGGGCTTTTTTTCTTTGTTATTTGTAAATTTAAAAACGTATCTAGTTTTTTCTTCTGCAAGGACGATCGATACCATAAAAGTTAAACTAATTAAGGCTAATCGCCGTTTTAATATTAATGAATTTCTATTACAAATTAGTAATATATATAATATTAGGCATAATTACATAACGATGCATTTTTAAGAAATTCGAAAATAATACGCCTTTAAGTCTTTTCTCCTACAATTTGATTGATGTCATGTAGCAATCTTTTTTTTTTCTTAATTAGAATTAAAGAACAAACGAAAACTTTTTCATATATAAAATAAATAAACAAATAAACTTTGTCACTTTTATTTTTAAAACGCACATCAAAGAAGATTGCTTTTTTTGTTGAACTTTCAGTTGGTTTTTTATATGTAAATATTAAACTAGCCATATCATCGTTTAATTTCAGATGGAATAATAATGATGAATTTAATTCTTACGCTACCAGTAAAAATTTTTAGACATGACAATATATTCTCTCAAGGCAACTTACCTGAATGTAATCCATTACAGTCGATAATATGATACTTGCCAATTTCTTAAGATTCAGTTAATGCAACGCACGTATCGTTCACCTTTCATTTTAACAGCAAGAAGTTGAGCTCTATTGAAAAAAAGTGTATGGTCTTATTGGTCTAAAGTCAGGCAAATAAAACATTTATATAATGGACATTTTGTATGGAATAGAAAAAAACTTTTTTTTACAAAATTTATTGTAATCTAGACAAAACAATGTTAATTTTTCTAAATACTAATTAGATAGTAATACTTAGTTTCAATTTTAGTTACATAATATACGTACATTATTTTCAATACTAAATAGTAAAATAAAAGAAAAATTGTCATTTATGAAATCTTATTACGTGCTTATTGAAAATTAATCGTGGAAATATTCTCTTTTATGCATTCACCAAAAATGTTTAGATATAACCTTTATCAGTTCGTTTGATGCATTATATATGCCTGATGCATAACAATAACTGCACAGTAATGCAAACACCGCCCGGTTACACCATTATGCGCCGCCTATATTATATGATTTACCCAGCGTACCCTACAAAAATGTCACGAAACGGCCGGCATTAAGAAATTAAGAAATTAACTATGGGTCAAATAATGTGTGACAAATAGGATTTCACACCTCGAAAAAATTCTCTGTCCCCCAGATACTTATAAAAAATGTAAAAAATGGAAACAAGGAAGGGTGTGACGCATGTGACAAAAGAGTCACGTGATTTTTCGTAGGTACCGACTGCGTATAACTGCGTATGAAACTTCGGAGCAAAAATGAATTGGGTGGTCCGTTATTTTTGCAAATAGCTGTAATATGACCATGTTTTTCGCGATACTTATGATGCATGTAATAAGTTTTTTATTACTACGTTCTCCGACTGCTTCTCTTCCAGTTTCGTGACTCTTTCAATAAGTTCAACTTTCTCGAACTCGAGCCCAGTTATCTTAGCCACATTTTCTTCTCTAAGTAAGGCAAGCTCGGATTCCATAACACTTTTTATACAAGCGAAAAAAAATAATGCCAATCCTACACCTATTCTTCGGCAAGGATTTTCCCGATGTCTTTTCTGCGCATTTCAGGTGATCGATCTCACAAAGACTAATAATCTAGCTAATTGGGAACTTCATAAGATAAAGATTTTCTCAGGTGAATCAAAAGAATAAGCGCCTTCCCACTTTCCTCGTATTGAGACGGTTCACTTCAGTGAACGTATCAGTATGATAAAAAAAATTCGAAATACTTTTTTATATGGTCAGGTGAAATGATTTATGTTTTTTTATTACTGGCATGCAAGCAAATTCTTGGATTTTGTATTGTGAAACTCGTTTCATACATGCAAAAAATATCGATACTTTATTCAATGAAATAAAAAATATTGCCGAAACAACAACTAATACATAAAAAATTGGCTCATTGGTTGCAAAAATAAAACATGTAAATACTTCCATTATCGGTACAATAAAATTACTTCGGTTATTTGTAATATGATAATTTGTTGAGAGGAAAAGCATTTCTCCAATTCGAATATTTCGGACGAGCCAGCTACTCAGGTAGAATTAACCTTATGTTTAAGGAATGATAAATACATTTTGAAGAAAGTATTATTTTCCTTCATTATAATTATCTTCGCTATCTATATCATCAAATTCATCAAACATTATCGAACTTCATCTCATCCACTTCTTTCTCAAGGAAAAATGCATCTGGAAAATGATAAAATAAAGGAATTGTACTATAGTTGTATGACTGTCACCAAATATTATACTTCATATAATGATTCATCTATTAGATCCTTAAATGACAATACCTACCTCTGTTTATTTGCTTAGCATTAGGATATTTCCCTATCATCAAGTTCTTTAGTTCCATCCATTGAGAATAACCATTGACATATAATTTCAAAGTGTTCGAATTCGGCCTGAACCACCAGCTGAACAAATCTAGTTCTATGAAACATTCCATTAAATCATTATCATCAATTATATCTGTGTCCAGATTCATAATAGTGGTTTGTAACTCCATAGCTGTTTCATATTGAGGATTATCAATATGCATATTTTAAATGCGTGAGTCAACTCTTAGAAAGGGCCGATCACCGGCCCTAGGGTATGACTCTAGTTTTTATATAAGAACATACCAGGCAACAATTCTTTCAGGTACATGAGTCTCTCATTGTAGTTATCATTTGGGATTGTGTTGAGAACATTTGATACAAGGTCTAAGAACTCTATATTATTCGAATTTTTAGTGAAAAATACGTGCAATTTAGCCCTCTCTGTTGATGGAAAACCCTCTTCATCGAGATTAAAGCTGAGCTGGTTAATCTCTTGATGAATAGTAATCACTTTTTCACTCCCTGTAGTTGAGCTAGTTGAGCTATACATTTGGTTATTTGTATATTACAAACAGTCTTACAAGTTGTCCGAATAAGAAGTGATTTTATTTTTGCAGAAAGATATAAGAAATCGATTGTCGCACAGATTGATCTGACTCATCAGTTGAGATCTGATTAATTTATATATTTGTAATGTAATGATTTTAACGTTTTGTTTATTAAATATTTAGTTGCCATAAATATCTCTTTTTAAGCTTTACTGCTTTGAAGAAGAAAAATAATTGTAAATATGAATATTGATAATATATTCGATGTTGAAGACTTTCCAATTGAATTAGTAAATCCTGAATTTGAACTGTTTTATATAATTATTATGACTTTATGAGTCAAATTTTATTATTATATAGCTGAATATTATTAAAGAAATAGAAATTTATAAGCTTATCTTCAAAGAGTATATTTGATATATTTATATTTTTTAACATAAAGCATTTATTAAAAAACCAAACATGTACGAAAATTCAAAATCGAAAATTTTTAAAGCATTCGTACGTACTAGTATAAAAAAATTTATCTGTTAGAAACGTACGTACGAACAAAAGTCCGCCCAAATTTGTATTACTGTACAGTACTACATTACTTAGTCAAATATGGTCAACCGTACGATTGAAAATTGAGTAACAGTAAATCATGATAAAAATGAGGAATTTTTTATGCAAACCTTATTAATCATTTCTTTCACATAAATTTTTTTGCTGATGAATTTGATTTTTTTTACTTTTTTATTACTATTTTTTCGATATTTATATCGTCATAATAAAAGAGTCTATTTTATTATTAGTCGTGATGAGTTCAGAAAGGGTATATATATACCCTCAAGTTTTCTCAAAACTTTCCTTCTCTAAAAATTTTTTTTGCGCTCCTTTACATTCATTCTCCCAGTATTGAGCCTTATACTTGTGCTATCTTCAGCAAGAAATCGGGATGGTTGACAGCAAAATGCTTGTAATATTAAATTGTATATTATTAGGAAGCACTTTATTTTTGATTCTTTTACGGTCGACGTTTATGATTAAAAACAATATTAATGGAGCTGAAGTCGCCTTTGGTAGTCTCAAAATTGAACACCTCAAGTTTCTTATCTATCATGAGATGAATAACCAAGTTTAATTATATGAACATGGACCTTTGGAAGGCTGTTATTGCTCTCCGTGATAATCTTAAAGATATAAAGGACAAAATTAAAAATGTAGGCGAAAATTGATGCCTATCGACTATTTTTCGAAATATTTTTCAGATAATAACGCAGCCAATAAAAATCTCATCATCGTACAAATGTCCGACGCTGCTAGTAAGTGTCTTACAATGTTTTACCTCTCGAATAAGAAATTTGCAGTTTCAAACAATAATAACCGATATTTTTCTCACTGTCCATTAGAGCTCGGGAGAAAAAGACCTATTACGGAAGAAGAAAGTAAGAAATATTGGCATCACATTTAGTTATTTATTCCATCGTTCTTACGAATTTTTTCTCTACAGCTATAAGAGCGGAAAGAAAATGGGCGGTTAATAGTGAAATTAATAGTGGAATTCTACAAGAGCGTCATATATTCTATTATTCTAATCTAGAGAGAAATGATATGAATCAGAAACGTGATGAATATGTAGCGCTTTATGATGCACGGGCTTCTGGAAAGTCTACACTAGCGCATCTAATTAGGAGACAGTTGAAGGATGAAGGTTTTTATTAGCATTTAGTAAGTTCTAATTCTCTTTTAAGCTAGATGGTCATATTGCATGTAGTCTTAACTGCTGCTTCAATTTATTTTTTCTTGGAACAGTGTAAGTCTTGAGCAAGTTGATATAGAAACTGTGGAAAGATTCTGGATGGCATTAGGCTACTCTCTCATGCGAGATGCGTGACATCGATATCAAATCTGCCAGTTCTGTTTTCGGTCTATTAATGATTTGAAAATAAATTCTGCCAATGATTTCAATGAAGTATTTAAAAAAGATATTGGAATAGTAGCTTTGTTCTCTTCATTGATGAGTTCGATAAAATGTATGAAGCGAATGAAGATGTTAGATCCTCGTGCCTGGAAACTTTTCGTGCCATGAAAACTCCAAATATAACCATTCTATCAGTGCTGTACCTTGCGTTTTGTTGATGGATTTAGCATATAGTCTAGATAAGTATCTCGATAAGGGAAAACAACATAATAATACACTTCAGATTATTACCTTTGATGGCGAAGAAGCCTTTAAATATTGGAGTAGTACCTGGTCTATTGTTACCATCGGCACCTTCAATATTCTACATCTAAAATCAGAAAAAAACTTCTACATCACCCTTTAATGTTTTTGAGCCATTCCAGAACCCAATTTCACGTTTAATCAAGTGTGAGACTTATATAGAAAGTTTGCGACAGACTACGGTTTACCATTGATCAGGAGATCATCAAGGATGTCAATAATCAGACAAGCGGGTATATGAAGCTGATGAGTCACGTAAAATCAAAATCTAAAATTCATTTTCTGTTATTTGACAGGCATGCTGGCTTGTCTGCCTTTGCGGACGTTCTATCCAGAATAAATTATTTGGAAAAATTGGCGAAGATAGCGTGCTTAGCTTTTCAAGTTGGTTAATCTTTACCATCAATTCATTGTAGAAGGAGATACAATAGGCCACCTTAAGAAAAATGATCGAAACGCTTAGTAAAAACTAAAAAGGAAGCCAAGTCTATGTTCCTAGGATTTTTCGATTCAAAGACTCTGAAGAAATAAGAATTATTAATAATAAAATTTATTAAAATTAAAAAAAATTAATATCGAATTTAAGTTTTTCATCATCGGCATTTTTAATGAAAACCCAACCATCTTCCTCGTTCGGCCAATCAGCACCTTTACTTGAATTACGGATTGTTGAAGAGAGAAGATTTTACGCAGAATTCTTGATAGCTGAAGGTGGAATGAAGAAGATTTAAAATGTCATCTGCTCTTGTGAATGGGCTGATTCAGCGATGAGTTATTCCTGATGTATATACAATTCTTCCCAGAAAGTGCAGTCCCTCTAAAATGAAGACTTCCCGGTTACGAGGTTACTGGACAGTGGCATCTGGTACACAAATATAGCAATATAGTAATTATAACGGAGCATCAAAAAATTGCTCTAGAGCTTCTAGCCGCTGCCATTAAATATATTGTAGACCAGGCTATACCATTACATTCTTAGTTGGCTTTTTATATACAAAAGTTCTTTGATGCTTATTAGTTTATTAGCAATATTTGGGTTGGCTGTAAAACTATAAAATATAAAAGTGAGAGAATTCTTTATGTATTACAATTCATTATGATGTGCAATAAAAAAAATAAATATAATGTAGTTTCGCATACGCATAGGTAAACTTTGGTAAACTTTATTAAATGCAAGTCCCAGCATCATATTATTTCTTTGCTCTCACAAGTATAAGAAAAATATTTATAACTAATTTATTTCTGTCGCTATTACTTACCACGAGATGGAATCGATTCTCACTCCCATATTCTTTCTTCACCTGAAATAAATTTCTATAAATAATTCTCGTCTATTTAAATCACTCACAAATTCGGGTTTGTACAATTGGCATAACTATTATGCGATATCCATATTTTTTAAATCAAACAAGGATCTATCCCCATCTCAGAGTCCAGTACAAGAAAGAAAATTTCTCTGAATTTTTCGCAAAAAATAATTTACAATGACAGCAGATAGCGATCCATTTAATGATTTCTGGGGAATTTCATCACTGGAATCGGTTACCATTGTAGCTACATGAATCTGCAATAAATCGAGGATGGGAATGACAATATCGAGGATGGAAATGATAGAACCGAAATTGTCAAGACAATGTTAAAGGTTACAGGCGTAATATAATTTGGGGTTCTCAACATGCTATATATGAATATTTATTTATTCATCGTATGGTGGAAATATTATGATAAATAAATTAATGTAATCTTTCTTTAGTTCTAATGATTCTTTCTAATCATGCTAATATTAATTAAAAGATTTTATAACCTTCCGAAAATTATTATAGTGATTAAATTTATTTTTTATTGGTCAAAATGTTGACTCAATTGAATAATATACTACTTTAAATTTATATTAAATTTAGTCCTGCTTTGAAACTTGTGACAAAAACTACACATTTTAGATAATGTATATACAGCCAACTCTTCCCTAAATGCATCCTCTGGTTCGGACCCAAACTTATACGATCTCTAATTATTTACTCTATAAATGCACGCCCTCTCCAAATGCACTATTACAAAAATTATGTGCATTTATAGGAGTTGACTATATAATTTTTTAATTTTTTTTTTATCAAAATGTACATTAAATCGACTAATAAATGGGGGGTTTTTCACGAGATCACGTGATCATAATCGTTAGTCTCTTATTTATTGAAAATAATTAAAAATAAAATACCTCCATTTGATTAATTAGCGTTGTGAATAGTTTCGACCGAAGAGTGAGGTCCCGTAGGGGATGAAGTTCTGGGTTCTATACACGCATATTAGTTATTTCGCATGAAAATGCCATTTACTTTTATTTGTAATAGTCTTAGTTCTACTACTCTTTTAGAAATAAAATAAATAAATAAAAATAAAATACTTGTACATCAGAGTATATAAAATTATATTAATCAATTCGCATAATTTTTTTGACAATTTTTTTTTTTCGAAATACCTATATCGTCATAAAAAGTCACCAATTAAAGAGTCTATTTTATTATTATTAGTAACGATGTATCCAAGCAAATATATATTATATTCCCTCAACTTTCAAAAAATACTACCCCTAAAAAAATACCATAAAGATTCATTAGAATCGTCCGATCATGAGTTCAAGTTGGAATTTACTCCTTTATTTGCTTATTTGACATCAGAACGTTACTATTTTATATAAATGAAAAGAGCCCTTTGATCGAAAAATGTATCAGTATATTAGGTCCTTTACAACACCAAAACAAATACAAACAAAATTATCATTATAAAACAATAACAGCAGCTCATCAAAATCAGATTTACAAAGTTTATTTGTGAACGTCGAGTTTGTATTACAACATGATTCTGATCGGGCATGGTTCCTCGGTACCCTTAAAATCGGATTATTGATATTTATAAAGTATATGCATATTCAAGTAATATTACAGATAAAAAGAATGTGTTAAATGAAAAAGCAATTTTTTTACGCTCATAAATTATAAAGTTCTTTTTTTTTTTTTTTACGGTTGATTTAATCACTTCACAAAATTCAGCTTTTGGATTTTCTGGCATAGGTTCATAATATCAGATAAAAATAATATGCCTAGGAAAATTCTTTATTAACGTAAAATTTATATGTACAGTACACTGTGTATATATTAAAATAATAAATATATATTTATATATATGTATGTATGTATGTATGATTAACTAATAATATTGTTATTATATTTATATTATTGTTTCACATTTGGCTCAAACAAGACATCTCCCGAGACGATCTTGACAATTAAACTCTAAGCTAAATGCGAAATTTTATCCCTGATTGTTTATAACAAAGATGATAATTCCCTTTTAAAACCCGAAATTTATACGCCAATTTTTTTTTTTTTTTGTGTATTTTAAATTTACATAAATATATATTACAACATATATATTTTTTATTTCCTATAATAGGTTGCATATTTAGTTATTTTGGTTGATTTTGAGTGCATTTAAAATGATTTTTTTTTATAAATAATAGGCTCTCGCACTTTTTTTTCACTTTCAACCTTCACTGTTCTATTTCCCTCCTTGTTTATCCATCAAACTTTTTGTTATTGCTTTGTGTTCGGTTTGAATTTATCTTGTAATCATAAAAAAAAAAATTTTTTTTTTTTTTTTTTTTTTTTTTTTTTTTTTTTTTTTTTT